TTCTGCGGCCTGTGGGGCCGCAGGGCGCTGCCCATGGTCTAGGGTACATTTGAAAGTTCCATAGGTTAGCAAAAGGTTACCAATTTTTGGGTGAAATCTGGGAACCTAAAAACAAGAGGAAGCGCTAGAAAATTCTTGGAAAAGCATCCAGCGAAAACATAACAAAATCTAGACAAAGCCTAGAGCATTCCTAGGAAAATGCTAGAAAAGCCTTTGAAAGTCCCATAAATCCAACAGAAAACGTGACAAAATCTACGAAAAAACAAGGGCACTGGCCGGGACCACGCCGCGACCAGCCCGGGATTCGAGCCCAGGACCATTTTGGACCGTGCTTATTTTCCCGCGCGGGTGGAGAGGGTGCCCCAAGATGTAAATCAATTGGGATGGCAGAATCTTGGACAATCCAGGCTACCATCACGTCGAAATCACATCAATTCCGGTCGTAAACACGTCGCAATCACGTCAAATCACGTAGCTATCACGTCGCTTTTGCGTAGAGATTCGTCACTGCAACAAAGGTCCGGAGGGGTAGGGGAGGTAAGGTCTAAGGCTAAGGCTACGTCCAAGTCTAAGTCTAAGGCTAAGGCTGGCTAAGGCTAAGGCCTAGTGCTAAGGCTAAGGCTTAAGGCTACGGCTAACATCGACAGTCACGCCTCACCCCACGGTGTGGGGTCGGCGGATTCGCTTGGTACCTTCACCAGCTTCACCATTGGATGTGAGCCAGGGACTCTTGACCAAGACCCCATGATACCCCATGGCCCCCACTTGATGCCAGAACTTGCCTCTGGCCAGCAGGGCCATGGGCCCATTGCAGCCAGGCAGGTTGGGCAAAAATGGTTGGGACTCCGGAGAAAACCTGAAAAAGATGTTGGGCACCTCTCCACTCTCAGCATCTGGAAAGACACACTTTGTTGTCAGAGCAAAGAAAAGATGTGTGTGTGTGTTTGTTCGGAAGCATCGGTAGGAAGGCGCCTCAAGGGACGCTCATGGACCCTGTTTGGGGGTCTCAAATCCCCAGGTTTAGAGGGACCAAGGGCTGCTTGGAGCGTTTGGGTATATCGAAAAATGATCAAACACGTTTGAGCAGTCGCGATGCAGACAGACATGATGGAAACATATGGAAACTCTAGCGTACTACGTTACTGTATAGAGTATTTCCATGTATTTCCTCTCTGCTGCTACTCCATTTATTTTTGCAGCAACCCATGGTCTACGACTTGGGCCCTTTTGCTTGCGAGTGCACAGACACAGCGTTGTTGTCATTGAGTCATGAAATAAGTACTCGTGCAAAGGACCATCATCACGATTCATCACGAAACTTCCGGTCTTAAATGACAGAACTTCTGGTTTCCGCTTGCCAGTGCCCCCTCCTCCCTTGATTTGACTGATGTTGTGTCGAACACGATTCTCGTGAGAACATCTCTCGTGACAGGTCGAGCTCAGATATCGTTGGGGATCCTCAGAGCGGAGTGAAAATGCTGAGCTGTGCAATGTCTTTTTCAGACTCTGGAAAGAGTTCAGAGACGGACGGGTATATATAAATATATAGTTATATATATATATATTGGTAATATAACTAATAAAATCATATAATATATATATATACAGATATAGCAAATACATGCTGGATGATGTTGGTAGGCACTTCTCTTGGTAGTTTTGTGCTTCTCTCTCGGTCGCATGCTCCCGTCATCTCGCGAGGCGTCCAGGGTATCTACCACCCTGGGTCTCCGAAGAGACTTGGTCTTCCATGCAGAACTTAGCCTCAAAGGCAGCAACTTGGCTTCAACAAGCAACAAGCAGACACCGCAGCATGGTGATTTGTTGAAGCATGTAGAAAGGGGGGTGTTCTTTCATGGTGAGCTACGGAAGCTTGACCAAACAGCCGGCCTGTGAGTTGGTCACGTCAGCAACCGGCCTGGCAACAAGAACCACTTCGCTTCACTTCCGTTTTTGGACTCGCGTCCTTCGAGTCCCTTCGACTCTCCCAGCTTCATCTTCCAAACCCTCGGAGCAGGTCCATGTTTGGTCCAAGACAAAACATGGTTGAAGCCGTTTTCGAAGGACAGGGCTTACATGCATCATCATGCATCTCATTGTATCTCCGTGCCCAGGCAGCACAGCGTGAGTTTGGAAAGCCTTGGAAGCCGAAGGCACGGAGATCGGCTTTCGGTCTCCGGGATTCGACCGTCGCTGTCACTTCCGAAAGAAACTCACTTAAGAGACAACAGGACAAGTGAACTCAACATCATGTTCAGGTATGACTTCCAGATTGGACAGATGATGACCATATGATGACCATAAAATGCCGCCCAAGGACGGACAGTAGTCGCGGACAGTACCACGCACCAGAGTGTGTCCAAATGGTTCGTCAGTGAGTCTTTTTTTCCATCGAAAGAGTGGAAGAAAGCACTCAGTAGAGTTGTCTTCTGTTCGACGCCGCGTAGGCACCCAGGCTTTGAGTGGTCGCTGCCGCTCGGACGGAAGAGACGGGAAAGCGGCGTCGCCAGAGGCCAGAGTCTTTGCAGGTGGGTCACTTGACTCAAAGAATCTTGGGGATCCCCACAAGTGTTCTCTGAGTTTCGGGGGTTGGCAGGCAGTTGTGCGGGTGAAGCAGTTGTTCTTCACGCGGCTTTCTCAGCTTGTGTGTTTATCAGGACTCTCTGGCGGGGGCGGGGATTTTCGATTCAAGTCACAAAGCTGATCAGTCCAGTCAAGCTTTGTTGAGAAATATGTGTTTTATTAAACTTAACGTATAGTAAATCCAAATTGCTAAATAAATATTAAAAAAGAAAAGAAAGAAACATCCTTGTAGGAGTCAAGCTTTGTTGAGAGATTGCTTGTACCAGTTTTGCAGACCTCGCTCTTCGCAAGGTCTTCTCTGATGAGATGGCAGGTACCATTATTTTTGGCTGTAGGGGCCCACCAGGTGGAGCATTGATGACCATTGAGCAATTCCATTTCCATGTAGGAACAAGGACGCTACGCACGGGGCTCCTGGCATCGCTACGAACGGAGCGTTCGGACGCTACTAGGTAGGGGCTCCTGGCCTTTAAGGCCTTTGGTGAAATAGAAGCCGGACAACAGCTAAGCAACTAGCATCTTTCTTGTCCAGAACAAGCCCAGGGGTCACCAGGTGGTCTCATACAGCTGAGCTTTGACAGTCTAAAGTCTAAACGTTTGCAGAGCAAGCTGACCTGGTTGTGGATCCGTTGCCAGTTGGTTTTCCGATGAACAGACCCAGTTCGCAGGAAAATGAGGGATCCAAACAAGGTTAGATGCACTCCATAATGCTTTTGTGGCTTAGAGTGATGGTCACTCACATTCTTCCTTCCAAACGGAGGATGAGGATGAAGTCCAAGCTGTACATTTGCTCCAAAAAAGGCTGCTGCTCGCCATTTGCAATGTCCGGGTGTAGACGACTTGCCATGCAGAGGCCCCACTTAGATGAGTCAATTGGGCAGTAGATGAGTCCATCCATTCATCTCAATCAAGAGGACATGCACATACATGCACATTGGGCTGGGCAACTTTGATCAGAAAAATCGAAAACGTATGGTCTAGAACCCTAGGTTGGAGGCCATCACTAGTAGGTTGGAGGCCACGCTATTAGGTGGGAGCTGTACCGGAGCCGTGGAAAAGATTCATGTTCTTCACTTCGCTTTCACGAAGTAAATGCACCCGAGGCTTACCATTTGAGAGGGAGTGGGATCCCTGGGGTCAACAGCATCGTCCTAGGACTTCAACTAAGTCAAGCATGGGTTTTCCATGGTTTTCCCATGTTTTCCCGATGTACAGATTGCAGCCATTTCAGAAAGCACGAGTCCATGCAAAACAATGCCACATCGAGCGTAACTCTTGTTGTTCAAGCAAGTGACGACTGATGAGATGTTATCAACTGTAACCGCTACAACGTGGCACGAAAATGGGACTTGGAATGCGAAGACGAGAGAAATAAGCCATCGAAAATGCCCAAAGACGTCCAAATGAACCAATATAGTTCCGTATGGTTGTACACACGTCCGAGTGTGACATAGAAAAAGTGGAGAAGCACCTGCAAATCGCTAGAGAGGATGGAGGGACACCACGCAAATACACCAAATATGATGAGAAGCCCAGCTGCTTATCGGATCGGTTGAGGAGTTCGTTTCCAAAAGCGGATCGGATCTCAGATGGAGGGCCTCAACTTTTCGGCGTCCGAGTGGCACGGCCCCGAGGGAGAGCGGAAGAAGATTTGGGGCAAAGCAAGAAGCATGGCAAGGTGGTAGATTTAGGATGAAGGGTGCGACTGGATGACCCCCGGGTGCGACTGGATGTCCGTTCCTCAAAACATGTTTGCAAGGGACACGTGAACCGCGTGAAGGACCGCAACGGCAACAGCGCATGGTGTTGAGGCTCGGCGCTGTGGAGGATGTGCTGAAGAGCCACCTCACAGGGCTTGCAGCTCAATCACAACAAGACAGTTCGCACGTCCTGAGCAGGTTTCCATGCGCATTTCGGTACGTTCAAATGTCTTGGAAAGGCAGGGCGACCTGGAGTTTGTTGATCCGATAGAAGAGTCTCAATAGCCTTGCAGCCCCTACTCTAAGGTGCTTCTCGTTGTCCTCATCACAGCAGTTTGGAACTTGGCTCAAGATGTTCACCAGGAATATTACCGGTGAAGCCTTTTGGAACAGTCCGAAAGTCGTTGACAGCTTACATGTTCCAAGAGGTTGGGTTGTGGTTTCCGTATGGCTGTTGCCTACGTTGTATCAACAAGGCAAACCAAAGCCCCAAGCTGAAGCATACTCAAAGCATGAAACAACGACAATATATTGAAATGACAAGCACATACCAGAACAAGAGCCTATGTTTGCCTGCATTTTCCCAACAATCATAGCACAACCATACACAAACCTGCCCCCCAAAGAGCGTGGGGCCCTATCTCACCCCTAGGTTGGAACTCTTTACTTTGGACTATCTGGCAAACCGTGAAGAAGCTCCCCATCCGGTCACGCGCCATGGCCACGACCGCCTTGCCGTCCCCCGTCGACGTGCACTCGGAGGGCCTCCGGCAGCTGGAGCGCGCGGAGCGGCTGGCGGAGGCGGCGAGCTCGCAGGGCCGGAGGGCGGCGACGCAGGGTCGGAGCACGGCAGTGGCTTGGTTTGCGCAGGCCCTGCTCGGGCGCAGGACACAAACGACGGCAGCGAGCGAGCAAAAGGAACACACCGGAGGACGAGCACACCCGCCCTTGTGCCGGCTTCTGTCGACGGGGAAGCAAGCTTGGTTGGAACGCATCCCCAAAGACATCTCAATCTCATCCTGCCTTCAAAATGCTCTTCTCCAATATGTAAACAATCGTAAACACTTCCTAGAAGGGTCTCGGTCTCACATAATGATCAATCATAATTATCAGGGGATACTTGCATTGCAAAAGACTTGAAGTGATCCTGAACACCAGGTTCATCCAGGTTCACTACCTTGCGTATTCTTTAGTCTTTAGCAACAAGTCGCCAGATTCACCGAGGTTCACAAGTCCTTGGAACAGCTCTTTGGCGAAGCCCGGGCGCGATCCCAGAGCGGTCCCGTCTGGGGAACCTTTGGGTCGCGGGAACCGCGATTGCTGCAGACACCCCAGGCCCAACGCTTGGAACGAGACGTGGCAGAGTTCAGCCTCGCAACACAGGCCGAGCCGTGTTGGACAGCGTCTTGGGGAGCGAAAATGGCGGAAGAGCCGAGGGTCGGAACCGTCTTGAAGGTCGGAAATTGATCTCAGATGGTCCCAGGGTCCGAGGGCCAGGTACTCGTGGAGTTTCGGACATGGCAGGCTCCAAATATTCAGTGTCCTCTAGAGTCCTCGACTTAAGCCCACTCATGTTCACTCCATCTCGGTTGGTTGCACATCAGGCCAGCGCAAAGCAGCAGGACGTGGATCCGTCGGTCGGGCTGCAAGAGTTCTTTGGCTTTCGACATGAGCGAGTCATCGTGGAAGCTGTGGAAGAGAGCTACAGAGACTGTCTTAGGCAAGGCATTCTTGGACATGAGCATGTCCTGAGATCCAGCATACATCAGCATAACTATAGTTGCGTTTGAGGTTCCTTGAGATGCCGATGGAGCTTACGTTCTGCAGTTTGTAGATGTTTGTAGTGTATAGGATGTATAGGGTGATGCTGTTTGGGAGTTCTTCGACGCTTAAGTTCGAGCATGGAAATTCATTTCCATATGTCACGGCTTCGGACATGTTCGGACCCTCCCAATGGTGCCATCGATCGGATCAGTGGCCGGCCGCCAAACATGTCCTCGTTCGACCCGTATGGAGATCCCCCAAGAACTGGCACCAAAAAGATCAAAAATGCAGAACGGGATGTTCAAGGTTTAACAATCTCTATACATCATACCAAAGTTCTTTCTTCAAATGTTTCAGCTCTTAGTTTTTTGATGTTGAGAGGTTACTGAGAACACATCAGCAACAGCCCCACCGCTCCGTGGCCACCGCGATGCTCGACGTGTTTTCCTTGTTCGGTCGGAGGTGCTGCGAGCGGCACTCCTTCGACCGGCTCACGGCCGATTGGGAGGACGACGGGTCGCGGAGCGCGGTCCGCGAAGCACAAGGGGATACCGGTCTCGAAGCACCTCCAATGGGACCTCTCGTGACCCTGGAGGTGTTGTGCCACCGGAGGTGGCAGGAACCCAAGGGTGAGAGGAAGAGACCACACCACATTTGCCTGGATCTGTAGCATGGAAGGCTACCCAAATTCGTGCCTACACCACTCCGATCAAAAACTCCTGGTTTTCCTGCTCTCCAGGCTTAAGAAGGCTTGGGTCTCATCTGAGATGCATCTCACTTCTCCAGGAGACCAAGAGTCAGTTCTTGGGAAACTTTCAACTTGCAGGCGATGCTCCTGGCGCATCAGCAGTGCCCACAGCTGCAGTTGTGGAGGGTTTGGGATGTGATGGGTATGGCATGTGATTAGTTCGGATTGGACAGGATATGACAGGATTATTGCAGATTGGATGGATGATTCAACACAACAGATGTTGGCAGAGATCTTGCCACTCCGGCTGGAGTGAAACAGGCGTTCATTAGGATTCATTAGGTATAGTTATATATATATATATACATTCAAAGTATCTTTAAAAAGGAACTATATATCAAACTATTTGTTCATGTTGTTTTGATGAATTTGAGGTGTAGCATCTGCTGGGATTTTGCTTTTGCTGTTTTTCAGCGCAGAGTTTTTCGGAGCCATAAGACCAAAAGAACGAAAAGAAGCCATCAACCCCAAGCTTATGTTTGCCAGACCCCTTTATTCTAGAAGTTTATCATCTTGAAAACATAGCAAGCAAAAAACAAAAAAAACAATCACAAAATGCAACCAGAAAAACAAAAGCGATCATAAAAGCAACAAAAAGCAAAAAACATTGCAAGCAAAAATGGAACAACTCAGCCGGGCTTTCTGGTGTACTTTTTGGAAGGATCCACGTTCTGGCGCGCTTTTGGGGCACTATTCTGGCGCACTTTTTGGGGAGGCTACTTTCTGGCGCACTTTTGGGGGAGGGTCCACTTTCTGGTGTACTTTTGGTCGCTTTTTTCCTTTTTTCCCAGCGCCGGGTAAAAAAAGTCGCACTTTTGGTCGCTTTGTTCGCTCTTGTTTCGCTTGTTTTTTCGCAAAAGAGCAAAAATAATGCGAACAAAGAGCGAAAAATAAAAGCAACCAAAAGTGCGACTTTTTACCCAGCGCCGGAAAACATGAAAAAGAAAGCCCAAAAGTGCGACTTCTGACCCGGCGCCGGAAGAAAAAAGCGACCAACAGTGCGACCTTTGACCCGGCACCAGAAAAAAAAAATAAGCAACCAAAAGTGCGACACTTGACCCGGCACCAGAAAAGAGCCTTGTCCAGTACTAACCCTACCCGGCCTCCCCAAACTGCCCTTTGTGTTTTGCTTGTGCTTTTTTGGTTGCATTTTTGCTGCGTTCTTTTTGCTTTCTTGGTTGCTCTTTGTTTTGCTTGTGCTTTTTTGGTTGCACTTTTTTGAGGTTTTTTGCTTTCTTGGTTGCTCTTTGCTTTTCTGGTGCTTTTTTGGTTTGTTTTTTGTTTCTTTCAAGTTTGAAGATTTCTAGAATAAAGCCGCCTCTGGTGAACATAACCCCAAGCAAAATCAAGTGACCACAGCACACAACCAATAATCCAGAGTTGCAAAATGAGTCAGACGTATCAGAAATTGAACATTGCAAGAATTGCTTTTCTTGGTTGTTCACGGTATTTTGTTGTTGATGTTTTTCTCAGATGGTTTATGTTGCGATATTTTGCAGGGGTGCTTTGGATTAAGTCTATAGTGAGCTTGGGTTTACTTTCCTGTTGGGTCTGTGTATTTGTTGCCGGATTCTCTTCTTCATGGTAGGTAAAGTCGTAAGAATATGTAGTTCTATGTGCCCCTGTTGTTGGTGGCAGGTCAAACAATCCCCATCTTTGGCTGCTTGCAGCATGGTTTGGTGGACCTTTCGTTCGACAGCTTCACGACCGAGGTGGGTGCAGCCATTCCACCTCAGCAAGATGCTTGGCGCAGCGGGAGCAGGTGGCCCAAATGGAGAGTGAGGTTCCTTTTTTGGCACAGCACGACACCGTCCCTGTGGATGTTTACTTGGGTCTGGAACATCTTAGTTCCCTTGCACCACGAAATATATACCAGAGACTAGACAGATGATTGAGACCTGACCTAACTTTTTGTATTTGAATAGCTTCAGGTACCTATCAGATAGCCCTGGACATGCCCACTTCTGGGATTTGGATGTATTTGGATGACTTATGGATTCGACCTTCGTCCCCATCGATGCACTGAGCCTGAGGATGCTGCCATCATCGATGCATTGACCTCCGAGCCGCTGAGCCCTCAGCTGGTGCAGAGGATTGCACATTGGAGTGCAGCCAGCTGCCCTGCCTACCAAGCAGAGCTCAAAGAATGCTGGAGCATTCTGAGTCACTTAGTAGTGTTGAGAGCCAGACTGGTCATTCTTGAGATCTATAGCTCTTTTGATTCAAAGAATATCAAAGAATCCACCAGGTGAATGACAATGAATCCAGGTGTGAAAGCACCACAGTGCTTTCTTCACCGAAACAAAGCACTGGCGCTTCTTTGTTTCAGCTGAGAGATTGGTGGTTCCCGGGTCCGACTCCGTCAAGACTGGAGACCCCAGAATGCTGTCGGTCATGGAAATCCACATGGAACGATTCAAAGACCCAGCCGGCCAAAAACGATGTAAAAATGAGTCACTCAAAACGTGCCGTGACAAAAAAAACATTTGCATCATTTGCCTATCATACCATGACACAGCCTGCAAGGCTGGATGCTCGATTCACATGTGCTGTTGAACCATTAAGAAGGAGCAGTGCGAAACCGAGCCCTTACATGATCATCGGGGGTACTTGATGTCCAGCCAAACAAACCTCCATCTCCTATAGGAGAAGGTGCGGCTTTTGCTGTTTCCCTTGAGGACAAGAAGCGAATCGATGAGTAGAGTTTGCCTACGTTTCAAATCTTATTTTCAAGGGAACGTATTGGGCTCATCATCCACGAGGACGTGTTGCTAGACCTTCAATTCTATGTTTTTTTTGTTCGCGGGAATGTCACATATTGGACCTTGTAATTATGAAGGATAGGTCAAGCCATGTCAAGCCCCAACCTCAGCTAAAGATGACGAGCCTTTTGGCCACCACTCAGACGGATACGACTGAGGTTATGAGCTGAAGATGACCTTGCAGAGCATCACTGGCGGGGCTATCAAATACCTCCAGACACGGTACTTTGAGGAGATGAAATCCTTGGTCTACAACCACGCCGCTTCGAAGGAATCTGTTTCACCCCCACGAGCTTGGGGAATAGACCGACCGGATCGAACAGGATCGGAGCTGAGAGGCTCGAAGGTGAGAGACATGTCGATGGTTGGGACGGCTCCTTTTGAAGCGTCCAAGCCTGGGTGACCAATCCGAGTGTGGCGCTATCAGGATCCTACGGCCAGGAGCCCCTAATAGCTTCTTGTTACTAGTAGTGATGCCAGGAGCCCCTAGTAGCGTGCATCCGAAACTTTTCTTCATGATTCGTGCAACATTTCTCGGGTGCTTTCCACTCAATCTTCATGTCCGTTGCAGCCACGACGGCCTACCGCTGGCTGCACAGCCTCAGGTGGAGGCGGCTTTAGGCGGACATCCGGATGCTTGGTCCTTGGTCAGGGCTCATGGCCGGCTGAAGTTCCAAACCGCTGCTTTTCCAAGCAACGTGACCCACGTCACTCGTCGAGTGGAAAATGTCATTGAATTGGTGGCACGGACGGGGCTTGTCTCATTGGAGGCACAGGGTTCCATAGTTTTAATATTAAGATGATTGAAGCATTTCGTTGCTGCAATTGCCGTTTCGATTTTGAATCACAGCTGAACACAGCCTACTCAATTCGACCACCCCCCCACCATCCTGACAGTAGTTGTGCCTAAAAGGGGCGCAATCCATTTCAACCTGTGAACGCGGCCGCTTAGGTTTGGTATGCCGCTTATGTCGCAGCCCGTTCAGGGCTTAGCTCCCTCTTAGTGGAGCTTCCTGACAAAGCTGGACCCTGCTCCGAGCGAGCCATGCTCCGGCCAGTACCTTGGAGCTCAAGCCTCCATGGATGGCCAGTCAAAAAAACATGGTTTATACAGTAACAAAAACACACAACCAAGGTTCCATTTCAGGATTGAGGGGCATCACCAGCTTGTTTCGATGTTGACTTGCCAGCTAGACCCAGAGTTCCTAAGGAATGTTTAAATAATACTGCACACGACGATATCAGCAGGGATTCAGCTACCAGAAGTCTAGCGAGCAATGAACATAATGGAATATGAAGACATCCTCCAAAATATTCCAACATGCCGACCATTGACCATGGTCCTTTCATTTCAATGAGACGTTTTTGTCATCTCGCCACGTTCATTGACCGGCCTGGTCTGCCCATAAGGTGTGTCTTCTCCTGGCGAAGCGACTACAAGCCATCGATCCTTCCCAAACATCGGAAATGGCGGGGAGTCAAATCGACTCTGCTGACCTTCTACGTGCAGATGTCGAGGTGCAGTTGGTGTGTATTTCTTGGTTTCATCAATGGGAAGCTGTATGTTCTCTCTCTCAGGCGGTTTCGGCAGGCGTGTTTGTTTGGATTGAAATCGGCTAGTGGCTGAGAAGATGTCGGTCCTTTGCCTACGTTCACAGGCACCCTTGGGCCCAAGAACAAACATACCCAAGGCCAAAGGGCAAATGACGTTTGTCCTCAAAAAGGTAGAGCTTAGTAGATAGTTCCTGTGTCAACTGTCCACTGGACGATCATCATGTGTGGTTCAAGGGGCCGGGGGTCTAAAACACATGTTCTGTGCGCTGGGTGGCTTTAGCAACCATCCACCAGGTCAAAGCTGCTGTTGCGTCCAGATTTCGGATTATATCTCTACTTGGCAGCCTGTACGAAGTAAAGAGGAAATGCTTGGAGAACTTCCACACTCACCCCTGACGGAGAATTGTTCTTTCTGAAATCCCCAGACGTTCCAGCGAAAAAAATGCTCCGGGCGGTGAGGGGCCCTAACCAATCTTTGCTTGCGGGAACCCACTTCTTGTAGCCTTTTAGGCAATGATGTACAATAGTGACAATAGTGATTTATATTAATGTTGCCTCACAGTCACAGCCACAGCCATGGAAAATCAGCATCATGTCAGGGAATGAATTTAAGAGCACCACAGAACTTGTTTTATCTTTCCGTGTGTACTCGAGCCCTATCCCAAGCTTTGGTTGGCAAACCTCCCTCCAAGTACACAATCCCTTGGGATTTGTGACTATGTTAAAGGAGGCAAGCATTTTGGTTGGGTGTGTACATGTGCAATGTGTGTATTGACCGTGTGAGCCATATACCAAAAACAGAGGGGCTTTGACGTGACGTTTCGCGGCATTGGACGTTTCGCGGCACATCCATCGTTTCGCTTCCCGCTTCCCGCCCCTTCGTCATGCTTCCCGCTTCGCTCCCTTTTCGCTTCCAGGAGACATCCGGCTTTCAAGACGTCCTGGTGTCCCTCTTGTTGGGCCGTGGCTTTGCCTTCGGACGCCTGCCAGAGGGCACCGTGGAGGACTGGCTTTGGTTTCGGCTCCACTTGGCACCCTGGCAGGCATTAGAGGCAACAAAAGTATGACCACGACGTGTTTTGCGTTGTAAATTTGGCAAATTGTATCCTTGATTTCCTCAGCCTTGGCATGCGACGGCTAGGAATATGGTGGCATGGTAGATCATTGGTCATAGTCCTAGCGTGAGGGTCGGCCTGCGGGCCAGCGCGATATGGGCCTGCAGGCCCGCGGGCCCGCGCGATTCCTGCAAAAAGCTACCCTTGTTCCCCAGATAGCTGCAGGCTATAGGGGTTCTAATTTCATCTAATTTCTCAATGGTGTGGCTTTGGATCGGCGTTTTGGTGTTGCCAGTGCTGCTGCCGTGCTGATGTTGGTGCAGGTGCTGGCTTTGGATCGGCGTTTCGTTTTGCGCATGTCATGCCAGGGGTGACATCATATCATGCCAGGGAAAACATCATTGTCATGCCAGGGATGACATCCCGTCATGCCTCGGATGACATCATGTCATGCCAGAAATGACATCCGGCCATGCCCAGAATGACATCATGTCTTGTGAGGGATGGCATCAGGTTATGCCATCCCCTGTGTCATGCCCGAAATGACATCATGTCATGCCAGGGAGGACATGCTGTCATATTGTGCATGACACTTGTGCAGCAATGATCATCATGTCGTTTGGGCAGCTTTGGCTGGTCCTTGCCGATCTTGCAGTTTAACGTCTGTGTTGGGCAAGGCGGGTGCATTCAGCTGGTAGATGTTGCACATATTGGTGAACTGGTCCGATGTTGCGTGCTGTGCCGCGGCGTGTCCTTTGAACCTGTACACCCGCTATTTGGGGCCTATACCGGTGTAGTCAATCATAAATCAAAAACCTTCAGTTTTTGGGGGGAGGAAGGACTTCTCCAATGAACGTGGGTAGGTGGAATACGGTGAAAGGCTTGCTTGTGAGGGCAAGTCAAAGAGTCAGAAAAACATTGGTGTGGATAGGTAGTGGTGGCAATTCACCAATTGATATTGACCAGTGTTAGACACTCCACACCGACCACGCATGCAATCGAGCCCGCGTCAAGCTCGCGCCGAGCCCGCAGAGCCCGCTCAGAGCCCGCACGCCGAGCCCGCAGCGAGCCCGCGAGCCCGCGCAAAGTGTCGGGCCCGCGCGCCCGCGCGAGGTAACCCTCAGACGGGTACCACTCCCAGATCATTGTACTGCACAGTCCACCATCGTTTAACTCGATCGAGGTTCCCAGTCGTTCCTTTCATCTCGGAGATTCAGAAAGATCCGCGCGTTTGGTATTCCAACTTGCTTTGTATCCCACCATTCCAACACAGCGTACGTTAAAAGCCCTCGCTTCCGACTCTCGATGCACATCGCGAAATTTGTCGCATTGCTCAGGTCCATCTGCTTGGACAAGAACACTTCTCCTTGCTTCAGAGAGTTGTTAGTTGGTTATTCGGTTGGTGGTCTTTACACCTTTTGCTTTTGTAGGTCGAAAAAAATCAAAAAGGAACAAACAAACACCCTCAGGGTATGTCGAGGGTATCTTGGGACCCTGGCCTTGCAATTTACTCTCAGTGGAAACCCTTGCTAATATGAATTTCTAACAGGATCCTCAGCATGGGGGCAGGGACCACTCAGCATTCGTGTCCTTTCCCAAGTGCTGCCTGTACAATAGGCCTTATGGTTTAATGATGAGTTCATTGTCATGGTTACCATGGTTCATTCGGTTTCTGGTGGGCCCAGGATGATGATCAGTCGCCGGAATTCAAGAATCAACTCGAAAAGCTTCGGTACCAGGCGCCCAAACGAGCAGCAGAACGTTGAACAAAAGACACGCCGGGTCCTTTGAAACAACCCGTGACACGACCCATGAAAATCGCAGTGCCTGTTTTTGTGAAGTCCATCGCTACTAGGCTGGAGGCCATCGCTAGTAGGTTGGAGGCCACTAGTATGGGTGACGAGGTGGTTGCACTAGAGATTTCCCAAGAAGATCTCAACCGAGGCTTCACATTTTCCAGGTGTCCTAGTCCCGGGGCTGCGTTCTGAGGCCTAGTGTCGTTGGTCCATCACCCGTGTCGTGTTGGGAAAACTCTCGCCGTTCGGTGTGGCAGATCTTCCGTTTCTTCACCAGCGCTTGCCCTTCCGTGGGCGGCCTCGGCAGGCAGCTTCACTGGGACCAAGCCACTTCGACACGCCCGAGCCGCGCCCAGAGCCTTCCAACGGCCAAAGCCGCCCGAGCCGCGGCGCGAGCGGCCTTGGACTGGGGCTGGTGCCCAGCAACGCCATGCAGAGCCTGAATTCGGTCAAGGCGTGCCATTTCGGGGCCGACGAACTGGTATAGTAAAATTGTATAGCGGGCGAGGTATTCATGATGATCGTATATTGGGTTTGTACCATGCACCCGTAACAGTCGGTCAACATTGATCACTCTGTTAGAGAAAGGCCTTGAACCTATCATCGTCCATTCTTGGCAATATGAACATGATAAACCCAAATCCGATAATCCTTATAGGTTTATTTGTTCACAGCTGGTGAACTCATGACATCCCATGGCGCAGTTTGCGCGACGTCCGCGCGTGCCATCCGCGACGTCCCGGCACGAAAGGCCCCGGTCAGACGGTGCCGTCGGTGCTTGTTCGGCGGAGGTCTTTTTGCTCACCGCGCAGTTCGGACTGGTCTTGCAGCAGTTGCAGCTTCAGGAGGGCTCTACATGTTTCTGCTTTCAACCGGTTGTGACCCCCTTGGATGGTGGCTGTGTCCTGCTTGTGGGTCAATGGAAATGGTGTCATTCTTCGGGGATAGATCCAAACTCGGGCAATTCAGTGGGATCAGAATCGTGATCCATTTGTTTTTCAAGTTCCATCAGTTCTTGTAGTGTTGTGGGATCCTGTCGGACAATCCACGGAAATCAATGAGGTGCTGGCAAACCTTTAGAATGGGTCAGTTGTTTGGTCAGTAGCCAGGAAGGAGATGATCCATTATGATCCCAAAATATGTTCAACCAAAAGATACCAAAAAGATCCAAAAAGGAGATATGGACATATATGGACCTTGAATTTCTTGGACCTTTTGTTCAGGACCCTGGCTCAGCTGGAGCTTTTGTTGCTGGGCCCAGGATGGTCGAGCCGGTCGGCACGTCATGCCCACGTCAGCCGACTCGGAGCCGACCGTTGGACCGGACCCCGTGGGTCGAGCCGGAACGTGTCGTGACAGGACCGAAGCTTGCGTGGGGTGGCCTTGCACATGGCCTTGTTGCTGCGCAGGTCTGGAGCCTTCGACGCTGTGAAAAGCCTGGAAGCTCCCGTGGATGTCTCCGCCTTCCTGTGGCTTGGGCAGAAAGATGCAGAAGGGATCGGAATGTGGTGAAAAGCGGTGTACAGTAGCAAGTGGTGGAAGGAGGCGATGTTGTTCAAGGCTTGGGAGCGGGCGTTAGATTAAGGATGGTTGAGGGTTGCCAGAAAAGTACTGTATGTGTTCAAGCGAATCCCATTCGGAGAGAACTCCAGGCAGAGGCAGAGAGTGTGATTCTGATGTGATGTGTTCAGTGATGTGATGTGCATCTGGATGGCACTCAGGTGGATTTGTCATGTAAACCACCCCCGGTGGTTCCATGAGACCCACATGGAACATCATGGAACCGGGCGACCCGCATTTGTCCCTGCAAGGAAGATGTCCACCGGGTGTACACCTGGAAGACTAACATGGAACCTGAAAACCCCTGGTTGGTAGAGGAAAATAGTCTTCCATGGGACCATTGTCAAGGTCTATGTTAGTTTTCGGGAATGTATTTCATCTACCAAAAAGGTCGGGACCGGTGCCAATCTCTCGCCGCATGGCCGCATGTGGATCCAAACCGGGAGGCCCCTGAAAAACCCAGGGTAGTACCTTGACCATGTTTGATCGTCTATTCGGAAAAACCAGGGTGTCCTCGGTTGAAAGACCCACAGCCAGACTGCTGATGAGCTACGGTATATACGTTTGTGCACAAAAACGCTGACAAGAAGGGACCCAGCGAACGGCAGGACGTCGGCACGGGGCTTCGGCTTCGTTCGTGGGGCGCAGGTGCGACTATGCCTCCAACTTTGCTTCGAGAGATCAGCTTCAATACTTTCGGGCGTTGGATGTGTCTGAACGGGTACAAGCCTTGCAGCGTTTGCTGCTGAGGGGTGCAGCAGGCGCGTGCGCGTGGTCCGACATGCAGAGTGGTGGACATGACCCAGGAGTTAGTGAAGTCACACAAAATGTGTGGTGGATTGAGAAGATTTCCACGTTGTCAGTTTGGATGGGCTCTAATTATCTCTAGTGATCTCTAATGTATTCTATTAGTATATCGATGTCTTTTTTGTTTGTGGTGCCTGCTTGCGCTGAAATGGTTGGATTTTGTTTCCTCTACTCAGCAGCAGCACCTTTTTGCGTAAGTGTGTGGCAGCCCCTTTGCTCAAACTCCTCTCAAAGAACAAGAGCAACTGATTCGGGAGCACGGCCGACCTGGAGCCTCCAGGTGATGAGCTCCTGGGCTACATCGACCCCAACGGCCGACACCGGCCTGGCCTCTTAGAGCAAACGCTGCAGGAGGACGGTGGTGAACAGTCGGAGTTCGTGGAGCTGTGCTCGAAAGCTGGGCGGCAAGCCGCGGAGCAGGGGCAGTATCGGGAAGCGATCCGCCTGCTGCACCTGGGGAGGCCGAAGGGCGTGTGGGCACCCGTCTGGCGCGCGTGTGTTTTCGGCGGCGGAAACGGCGCGTGGCGCGCGTGCATGGCGCGAGTGGTTGAGGTGGTTTGCCATGAGGTTTTGTTCGCTCCCTACCAGGAGGAAGACTCGCCGAATTACGATTTTAGTTTGGTTCTTAATGTTCTTGTCACCAAAGGTACTCGCCGTCGCCTTGCTTTAGCAATAGTTGTAATGTGATACAAGGTGATATACAGTGGCAGCCATGGCAGCTTTCTCAAGTTTGATTGAGGATACTTTGATAAATTGATTTGATGAACAAACAAGGGCGCCACGGCTGCCACAAATGATTTCTGGCAATGGCCAGCGATAGCGGAAAAAACACTTCTGGCAGCGGCAGTTCCAGTGACCATGCAGCGGCCACATGTGATGATCCACCACGTGTGACATGATCATCCACGATCAAAGAGTTGGACAAGCTGGCAAGCAAAGTGGTTGTAGGTGACAAGGTATCGTTTCTTGTGTTATAAGATTCTTTCATTGGAGAGAGCCTTGTTTCAAGATCAAAAATAGAAGCAAAGAAAAAAAAGTCAACCAACATAGTAGTCGGTGCCAAAAGTCAAAGTAAAAAAATATCAAATCAGAAAGTGTCAGAAAGTAAAACAAAATCAATTGGCCCAGATCCGACTTTTTCTTGTTTTCCAAAATGTGACCCTTTTTATGTGTTGTTTGCATGTGTCAGTGTTCTTGATTTTTGATTGTTTTGGGTTGTTTTCTAATATTGGCTTGTTTGACGTTTTTTGTTACTTTTACCTGTGTTTTCCTTGTTTGAGTTTTATATGTTGCCGTTTTGTTTGACTTTGGTTTGACATTTGTTCGACTTCTTTTTGACTCTTTTTTGACTTTCATTTGAAGTGTTCTTTTTTCGAGTTGTGATCTATATTTAACTTTTTTGACGTGCTTACCATAGCATCGTTCAAAAACACACATCTATTCTTTAGTAAACGAATTTTCAAGACTGATTTTGAGCGTGCTCCAACTGCAGTCGCGAAAGGTTCGCGAAGGTCCTGCGAAAGGTTTGCGAAAGCCAAGTTGGTGACCTAGGGCACCCTGCAAAAACAATTGGGCCACAGACTTCCAATTTGCTTATTCCCGCACCTGGAAAAAAACCATTTGGCCACAGACTTCGTATTTGCTTTTGCCCGCTTTAGACTTGCGATTGCTATTTCTCGAGGCTGGAAGAGCAATTAGGCTATAGGCGCCCGATTGCTGGAGAAATGGAGAAAGGAAAAGAAAGTAGGACTTGAACGCTTACAAGCCTGGTGCCTTATCCATTGGGCCATAGCTTCTTTTCTTTACTACGCATCACTTTCTTCTTGTGCCCGCCACTAGCAAAAAGCAAGTGCGCCACACAGTCCTGATTGCAACACTCCACCGCGCGCTGGACCACAGATTTCCAGTTGCGTTTTCCCAAAGAGGCGATTGGGCCACAGACTCCCAAAGCCACAGACGTCCGATTGCTTTTCCCGACCCTGGAAAAAGCAGTTTGGCTACAGACTTCCAATTGCTTTTGCCCAGGCCTGGCAAAAGCAATTGGACCACAGACTTCCAATTTGCTTTTCCCGACCCTGGAAGAAGCAATTTGGCCACAGCCTTCCGATTGCCTTTTCCCGACCCTGGAAAATGCAATTTGGCCACAGACTT